CCATATCTACTTTAACATCAAGAACAGAATCTTTATAGGCTATGTTAAAATGAGTGCTAACATTGAACTTTGGTGTCTTTCCATACACCCATTCCCAGGTTTGTAGTTCTTTAGCTTTACTGTTAATTCCAGGAAGCACAGTCTCATCAGCTGGATTTATTAAGTGGATATGATGATCAATTTGGTGCTGCATTGCATATTGTTCAGCAATGGCATCCAGAAGCAGCTCAGACGTTAAACTAGAGTCCTCTTCAAAGAGATTTTTCACTGTGGCAGGCACGCTAGGAGTAGCATTGCTTTTTAGCCCTTTATAAGGACTTTTTAGCACAGAAGATAAAACAAACTTATCTGTGTTACAGAGTAAAGTACAGTGGTGATAAGCAGCTGTCCTTCCCAGTTTTGCAGCAGTACCTGAGATTTTGTATTGCCTATCTAGCAAGATATCATATCTGTCACTGACATGTACATCTAACTGTGGGCGCAAGGCTTTCAGGGCCTTCACAACTAGTTTCAGGTTTTCCATTCGTTCGTGTTTTTTCCTCGTTGTAAAGAAAGTCAAGTTGATATTGCCTAAGTCATGGTACACTGTCCCTCCTCCACTTCTTCTCCTGGCTAGTTTTATATTTTTTTGCCTCAATAGCCTGAGGTTGCATTCCTGCCAGGGATTCTGATGTCTCCCTATTACCACAGCAGGGGAATTTCTCCAAAGGAAAAGGACCTGTTGGTTCTCTAAATTCATGTGGTCATGGATCCAGTCTTCCACAGCCAGATTTTGGTAAACATCATTAGAAGTAGACTGCATAATGAGGCCTCCACTTGCCGTGCTTCTGAAGCCAGCTTTTGGAGCCTGGAGGATGCAGGGTAGCTGAAGGCAGTTCTTTAATGATGACTGGAGCACCATGTTCTTAATAACTGGACAGTAGATGGAAGCAATGCTCAATCTAGTAATGCTGAACGTGGCAAGTGCACAATCTGCTGTTGTGACTGAAATGAAATGCTAGTGGCAGTCATGATGCGTCATGCTCTTCCCAAAGCAGCAATGCTCCTGAAGTGATGCGAGTTACAAGGCACGATTCTCCTGAAGCTAGTGATGTGATTCAAACCCTGACATGTGCTTAACATAAAAGTGGGGGTTGTCAGTAGCTTCTCCTCACTGCCCTTAATGCCTAAAAGACCAAGAGAAAAAATGGAATTAAGCTGTGTATTTTCCCCTCACTAAGACAATTTTACTTTGTGTATTTTGCTAAACCTAATTTTAGCAGTCCACTTTTGTTATGATTAAAAACCAAACCAAAACGAAACAAAACTGGTGCACCAAGTTCACGAACTCGTTGGGTCAGTGAGGAGCCAGCCGGGCGCAGAGCTTGCTGCCACGGTGCCTGCAGCGCCCAACCGAGAGGCGAGACAAGGCCGCGGAGGTACCGGAGCCGGGCGCCATTTCGTTCTTCGCTCTGGCATTCCCTCAGCGGCCACCCCTCACCGTGCGGCAGCAGGCCCCATCCCACCACGGGGCTGCACCAAGGCGATGCAACCCTGGCCCGCCACCTTCCTCCCCTTTCCGTTAAACAGCCGACCCTGCGGGCCGCGAGTCGCTACTCACAGGTAGAAATGGCAGTGCAGCGTCCACACCGACACCAATCCCTTCCGGTTCCCGAGGTTAGAGGTGCTGGGGGCGGTACCGTTGCCGCCCGGCGGGAAACCGGGAAGGCAAATCCATCATCCCGCTCATGGTGCAGGAGTGCCAGCTGAGGGGAGCGGGTGGCGCTTCTCATGCCGCGGCCTGGACGTGGTATGGCTGGAGGAGGTTGAGAAGTAAGGATGGTCAGCTGCTGTGCAGTGTGCTGCCAAGTGACTTAAAGCTTTTCAGCCTGATAAAAAACCAAACCGAACCTCCTGTGGTAAGCGGTTGTAAAATGGTAGGTATTGATTGTTACCGCCTCTGCCAGCACGGTAACTGCGAAGTATCGGATCATGCCAGCAACAGGCAGATGCACAACAAATAGAACAGATGATTAGTCGTGCGAGACCCAGCCGTGCAGTTCCTCATCACAAGATGTTCTGGATGCTAGAAGCTTTCGTGAGTTCAAAAGGAGACTGAACAAGTTAACATAAATGCACAAAGATTTGTGAAATACATAGAAACTGCAGTATTCATGAAGATACACAAGTTACGTGTCAGTATCATAATTCATTAATGAGCTGATAGATAACTAAAGATGTATTACATGCAGCAGATTGTCTTCAGATTTGCGTTGATTTAATCCATTTTTCAAGTCTACCGGACCATGGCTATACCTTCTTCAAGAGCTATTGTCAGTGTTTATGCTGTCAGATCTTGTTTGTTGCTAGTGCTGAAGTTTTTATCCACAGTAGTATCTATATGGGCAGGTGTGTGCTGTATGTCTCTTGCTGGGTGTATGTGTATTTATAAAGGGCATGGTGCATGCATTTATCTTCCATTCTGCCTTTATATTGGAGTCCCAAGACATTAAGGAATTGTAGAGAAAAAGGTTGGTACAGTGGGTTGTGAGAATTCATGTAGGTTATTTCTGTTGAACAGGTAAGTAATTACACTTTGTGGTTCTATAAGTAGGAGGCTTAGGAAGAAATGCCAAGTTGATGTCCTTATTCAGATGAAACAGTGAAATTACTTGAGGAAGCAATTTGGCTTTGGGCGTGTAAGTGGGTGTTCATATATTTGCTTTATCAATAAAGAGACCTATTTATGATGTGGCCTGAATTGCATTTTACCTTCTAATCAAAGAAACAGAACTAGAACAGCTGTCTTCCCTGAATGGCAAAGGAGAAAAGAAGACGGATAAGGGTGAAAGACTTTGAGATTAAAGATGTGAGCTTGCTGTTATTTCCTACTGAAGAACCATATCATTAGGAGCAGAAATATTCTTACCAAACTCTTAAAAGAAATGTGGGTGTAGTAGGGCAAGCAGAAAGTAAGAAATCATCACTGCACGTGTGCCGGTGGTGACTAGTGAGAGGAACAAGACTAAAAGCATCCTGATGTGATGTGTGCCCAAGCACTTGGCATATTGTATTGCCACTTAAAAAAAAAAAAAAGTAAAAAAAAAAGTTGGGAATTATTTTAAGCAGTTTGAAATGGGCACAATTTGTTGCTAAATTAGACTGGTGAAACTTTACTTGGGCTAATTCTGTAATGCATAGGGTAAAAAGCATGTGAACTTTGTCCAGAAAAATGTGCTGAGTGTTCTAAATATCAAAAAATCAACTTTTGAGGCAGTTGGCAAAATGCAGAGGTTAGCCTGGGCACTTTAACTGGTCAGAGGACGTGAAATGCACCGTGTGGGGCTTCTGCAGTTAACTAGAAACAAGATGTTGAAGCATTAGTTTCCACTTTGGCACTTGGCTCTTGGAAATTTGCAATATGTCATTTTGCCATGGGGTGTCACTAAAAGCACGCTGCGAGCTGTTACCCTCCCTGTTTTTGTAGTTCAAAACTGGGTTCTCTTAATTAGAACCAGAATCTGCTAAAAAATGTAAAGTGGGGAGAGTACTAGGTGGTCAGGTAAAGATGCCATGGTTCTGTTTTCTATGCTGAACGATAAACTCTACATGCAACAATAAATACCTTTACTGAAAAGTCACTCTTTTTGGAAACAAACCCAGCAAGATAATTAGAAATATTATGAAAATAAGTGAGAAGTATGAATTTATAAATACAAACCGTGATTTATCTCTTCTGGATTGGAATTTTTAAATTTCTTAGTCTAGGCTACTATCTTATAAATTACATACCTGCAGAATACAGCAATTATTGGTTTTGCTTTTGAAAACAATTCCATGTATGACCTTCTTTAATTAACAAAGCTTTGTTTTGTGCACAGAAAGCAAAGCAACTGCTCAGCACAACCTTAACCAGCATTAACATATAAGAGAGAACACACCGTATGTCAGAGAAAACTGTAGACATATCAGAGCAAAACCAATCAAAAATACCTTATTTCACCCCTAAAATGAATTTTAATGTAGAAAAATTTTGGTAAAGTTATGAAAACCTGAAATGTATTTTTCACATTTCTTTCGGAGATCAGCATAGAATCATAGAATAGTTAGGGTTGGAAAGGACCCCAAGATCATCAAGTTCCAACCCCCCTGCCATGGGCAGGGACACCTTGCTCTAAACCATACCAAGGCCTCGTCCAACCTAGTCTTGAACACTGCCAGGGATGGAGCATTCACAGCCTCCCTGGGCAACCTATTCCAGTGCCTGATAATGCAGTCTTATCTGATGATTCCCACCATACCAAAATCAGGAAGTGACTTGTAAGAAACCCAGGATGGGGAGAGGAAAATAAAAAGTCTTGTTTCTCTTGCTTTTTTCCTGGAAGTTAAAATTTTCCAATTTCTTCTCTATCTGTGGTTGGTATCATACTTCAGAGGTATCGGGCACTCCTAACCTCCAAAAAGGTGAGCTCTATCCATGAGTGCTTAAATAGTGACAGCTTGCAAAAGTGACCTGTCATTCAGCCGGCACTGTCTCCAGATTATAAAATCCGTGCTAATGGATAACAGGGAACAGAGGACATTTATCTCTGGTTTCTCAGCTTGACTTTGGAACTACCTAAAGCAGCCTCTTTCAAAGACTGGTCGAGTGCGAGGTGTCCCTGCCCATGGCAGGGGAGTTGGAATTAGATGATCTTAGGGTCCTTTCCAACCCAAACCAGTCAGTGATTCTATAACGCAATGGTTAGGGATAACTTTTCCTTCAGGGGGAGAGCTAGAGTCGGGGTTTCTACAGCTCTTCACAGCCGTCCCGTCTAGCTAGGGCTTTCACTCGACTTTGGAAGAACCACCTCCCGCCTTCGCTGTGCTCCCACCCTGGAGAGCTGCACCTCACCGCGGAGAGGCGAGGAGGAGCCCAGGGCTCAGGACCAGGGCTACGCGGGGCTGTGGCTCCCCTTTCCCTCTCGGCGAGCTGACTGGGACGGTTGGGAGGCTGAGGCTGTTGCCAGGCGCCCGGGGAACGCGGAGGGAGGCAGACGTTGTGGCTTGGCACCGCCCATTGGGCTGGGCGGGAGAGCGGGCGCCACTGCGGGTGCCTCAGGTGGGCGCCGGCAGCGGCTATGAGCGCCCGGCGCTCCCCGGGGTCCTGGAGGGGGAGAGCTGAGAGTCGCCGTAAGGTAGTGACCGCCGGGAGGGGGGGCTGCGGGAACGGCAGGTGCTGTCTCTGCGTAAGCTGTGGAGAACAAGGAGGAAAGAACATCTGTGGGGTCCCTGGCAGTGTTCAAGGCCAGGCCGGACCTGCCTTGGAGCAACCTGGTGTCCCTGACCGTGGCAGGGGGTTGGAAATAGACGATCTTAAGGTCCCTTCCAACCCAAACCATTCTGTGATCCTATGAAGCTTAGTGTGGTCTGAGTGTGAGGTTCTACCCCTGTCGCAAGGGGACTGCAATATTACAGTTCAGAGGATGGTGGTAGAAGGTGCCAACAGTGGTAGTTAAATCTCAGTTGCTCTGTGGCAAGCATAAATAATGGTTCTTTTAGGAGATATAAATAAATAATATGTGAATGATCATATTATTTTTCAAAAAGTGCTCCTTCACAAGTTGAGTAAAATTAGTACTGTGGATGAGCAAATACTGTCTGGAAATTTGAGTCCTCGTTGCTCAGTGAGGCAATGAAGATACTGTGAAGATACTGTGAAGAGGCAGTGATACAGTGAAGATACTACAGTGAAGATAGCTTGCAGATTACTCTGATCTATTCCTTTTCTGGAAGGTCTAGGGAAGTGTAAGAGAAGACTGGGAGCAACGAAATCATAGAGTAAGGGAAAGGACCCTTAAGGTATGATACAGGTTGGCTGTGTGGAGGAACAAACCCACTTTTGGTGTAGTCAGTTACTTGAGGGTATAGATGTGACTGGGGCTTCAATTTTGTCATTTTAAGTACTGTTTGTACATTCAGGTTCAGAGTGGGATTTACCCTCCCTGTCCTTTATTAGCTCTTCTCTTCCCACTTTGTAAAACAGGTATCCTTGAGAACTTCAGTAATATCAGAGTGGTATTCTCCCCAGATTTTATAACTTCATAAAAGTGTAGGAATCACAAGCCATGGACGTACAGACGCTGTCTCTAGAGCATTTTGTGGGTGGTTTCTGTGGTGTGTGTTTTTGGTTGTTTGTTTTAAACTACTTTTCCACGCAACCACTCCAGGATTATGTTTCTGGGGTCATAACTGTGCTTTCTTAGTAATTCAATAGCATTAGCTGGATCAGGCTTGATGAAACATAAAACCAAAATGACAATGAAAATAAATTCATTATTTTTTCATTGACTTTCCTGATATATTTGTATATGCATTGAATAGAAGAAGTGGCAAAAATAACTACTGCAGAATGTCACAGGACAGAGCCCATCCAGAAAGCTTTCCGTCACAAAGCTTCTTTCAGGACTTCCTAGGTAATTCAGAATGTACGCTTGTGCAATGCTAATAGTACCTGAGAAAAACTCTGACTATTAGAATCAAAGTAAACCTCATAGAATTCAGTATTTGGCTGTATTGATTTCTCATGCATTACAGGATCAGCCTGTGAAAGCAGTGGAGTTTCTGCATGGCACTGTATCCCTGTCTCAGTTAGGTTGGGATTTTAGAAATCTGAGGTCTCAGAACATTGAAATGCTGCAGGAGGCAGTAACACTCCTGCAGACTGAGATGTTACAGCAAGTTGATGGTGCCAAAATAGTTGGCAACTTCTGGTTCCTTACAGAAAGGCCATGTAATAGTTTCTAAAAAACCAACATTGTTTCAGAGAAATAGCTAATCTTGATTAATCAATGAATTTGCATTAATAATTGATTTGCTACATTTCTACTGGCCTTTCTGAAGCTTGTGGAAAGCATACCACCACAACTCAAGTAGGAGGATTGAAGGGCATTCCTAGGACCTAACAGAACCATAGTGAGTAGCTGTTGGAAACTTTAGACCTGGCCTGGAGAGACATTTCCTCTCACAGTGCTGTGGGACAATAACTGCAGTGGCAGCCCAGCTTGAAATAATTTTAGCATAAACATTAAAGATCAGATTCTGCATTGTCCATGCCCTTCCAGATTAATCTGTTCAAAATGGTGCTAGTAGTGTGCGTATTCTTTATTTGTGAATAATATATACTGATTTTTTTTCCTTAAGTGTAAATTACGTATGAAATAGTCCTTGCAAATCCTTGAAGATTAATTAAAATTCTTTCTTCCTCCTTGTCCTCATAGATTGAAGATCTGAAGAAGATAAACTATGAGCTAAGGCAACATGTCCTACAACTTCTTAATACGAAGCAAGCAGTGGGAAGTCAAGTGGATAGGTTCACCTGTAAAAATGATCACCTGTGTAAAGAACTGGCTGTAATTGACAAACTGTCTGAGCAGCTGGAAAAAGAATTGCTATTGAATACTTCTGATAAGGAGCTTAAGGAAGCAAAGGTGGCTACTTGTTAGAATTAATATTGTGCAATGATATTTTAATGTTTGTTGCTAATATTACAGGGAGCTGTTCTGTTTTGTTTACCTTTTGGGCTGAATTTCTAGCTTTCACCTCTGTGTTGAAATATATTTGCTGGAATGAAGGAAGAGTGGATGGGTTCTGGCATTTTTGCTATTTTTTAAGTTCAATGATTAAAATCATGCAATTGGAAAGAATGTAATTTCAGTGAAAAATGTTTTTGATTTCACAGGAAAATGGCATTCTATGCACATGGAATTATGTGATGCAGTAGTGGTCAGATGGGAGAAAGCATATTCTTTGTTTGCCGTTAGAGTAACTACATCCTTATTTCTTTAGCCAGTAAACTGTCCCTGGTTTTGGCAGTTTCACTGCAAGATGGTCCTGGGAATAAATATTCCATGCTTCTTTTGCCATTCACTCACCTGAGAGTAATTCAACTGTTACTGTTTCTTCTCACCCTGAAATGCAACTTTTAATTGATTGCCTTCTAGATTAAGTTTATTGTATGTTTTAAGGCTAGTCAAACTATAAAACATGTAAAAAATGCTCTTTTGAACTAGAACACTTGAGGTAAAATGCTGGATTTGCACTAATGATTATACAAAATTAGTGCGTCTCCTGCTCTAGATTTTTTTTTTTTTTTTTTTATGGTAGATTCAAATTCAGAACCAGCAGAAGACGATAAAGAAGCTGGAACACTCAGTGAAAACACTAAAATCTGTAAGTTAAGCATGTATTTATATATGTAACTATGAAATCAGATCACTTCCACATGAAATTAATACTTGTATGAGTGAATTCCACTTTGTTTTCACTGATAACTTACAAGTTATAGAATGGATAAATATATCTGTTATTGTTTGTAATTCGCTGTCTCTAGCTGGATAGGAATCTTTCTGGTTTGCAGCTAGCCGGTAATGATTCTGCTTTTGAGATTCTTAGTGATTTTTTTCACAAAATTGCATGCAACTGTTTTGAATACCTTGTAAATCACTTGCAAAAGAGAAAGAAGTAACATTTTGAATATGTATACAATGTCATAATAGTAAAAATATTTGCCATTTACAGTGGTAAATCTAACTTAAATTAACATTTGGATGTATTAAGTGGACTCATTCACTTGCTTCCAGTATAAATAGATGGGGAATTTTTTTTATGTGTTCAAGATAATAATTTCTTAAGGTAATTTAATGTGGCATATGCCATAATCCTGCAAAGAATCCCCTATGGAAAAAAACCCACTCTGATTCTGTAGAGCTTACTGTTCAGTTACCCTGGAAAGATTTCAGTCCTTCAGCCAGAAAATTTGGGATTTAACAGCTAGACAGACAGATTTAGGTGATTAATTTCTAACTTTTCAGGGATTTAAAGGCATACTTCTGCATGTGTCTTAACAAAAATAATACACTTTCAGAGTTTAGTACTCTCTAGGTGCTTAAACTCCCATGATTCAGGTACTTCTAACAGATAGATTGTAACAGAGAGGAACTGGGTGTGCAATCTTGAACTTGGGAATTGCAGCTCATCCTCAAAATTCGTTTTAGGCCCCTACATGACTTCCTATATTTCAGCTATACTTATTTGCACATTACTTTATTTCCATTTCAGAAATTCACCTTTCATGGATCTTAAGCAAACATAGCAGCCTAATGTCTTTCATATTTAAAAATTCATTAAATATTCCAATGCAAATCTTAATTGCCCTCCTTATTTTTGAACAGATATTTTCCAAGTTAATTAACATTCAGCTTTTATGTCCTTTTCTGTCCTGTTAGATCCATTCTAAAAGGACATTCAGATATATTCTGCAATATAATAAAAAAGAGAAAATACATTCAGAAGTTACTTTAAAGTATTAAATGTATATTTATTTTCATTAGATATCTGCTTTATCTGTATTTTGAAGAGTATGTTTATCCATTTTACATTGAAGTATCATCCATTATCAAAATTCTATTTCAGTGAATGTATTCTCTCATTTTTTGCACTTGCAGGTTATTTTACAAACAGAAGCTGAAATCAAGCAAGGGAGGTCACCTTCAAAGCTTGATGCCTTTATTAAGACGTTGGAAGAGGAAAGAGACTACTATAAAAATGAGACTGAGAATTTGCTGAAGATATTTAGGAACACACTTGCAAGTCCTAAGCGAACCAATACTTGTGGCAGCATGCTAAAAAAAAATTCATCCATCCAGGTGAGCCTGGGAAAACACTTTGAAAAGGGAGGAATGCATTTTTAGAATGTTGGTTTATCTTGTGCTAAAATATTAAAGCTATAATTAGCAGGAAGAAAAACTAATTGATTATAAAGTGAAGGATGCTTAATATGGGAATGGGCCAATAATGTGAACTTCCGCTTTATACTGCATGCATGTGTATCAGTTTAAATGGTTCCTCACAAGTGCTTACAATTTAAGTAATTGTTAACAGAATTGTCAGTACCATTAGTGATAGATATTTGCTGCTCAAACTGAATGTGGATTTTAGAAAATGGTATGTATATCTGGTCTCTAATACTAAGAAATGTATATGTACAGTCTTGACTATCTAGAAGGTACTAGGTTGGAGTCTTATTAAACCTTTCATAGAAATTTCCAAAACAGATATAATAAGAAATCATATCAAGTTTTGTTTCTCTACTTTAACCTTATATCTCATATTCTTTAAGGGAGTGACCTTTGCTCCAGACGTTTTGAAAATACTGAGAGAACGTGAAGAACTTAAGTCAACGCAGAAAAAGTATGAGCGCCATATAGCAGAAATTCAGGGTAACCTCAACGTTTTAACAGCTGAGAGAGACAAAATGGTCAATCTTTATGAACGGGTAATTTAATTTATCTTTGTATGATTAATTAAAATAACCCCAGGTCATGTGCAAGAAAAAAATTCCTCTTTTTTCACATTAAAAAAAAAAAGAGCAAAGCATTTGCTTAAAAAATAGAAAAAAGCTATGGAAATTCTGTGATTTGTATGTGTCAGATAAATGCAAGTTTGTAAGTGCTGTCCTGAGTTAATAATGCTTTTCTGAATCAAAGAATATGCGCACAAATCATTACTTTGATATTGTATAGTTTCTGTGATGCTCTGCATTACCACCCCTATGCCACAGTAATATATTACATTATCTAGTCCCTATTTCTGTTATGTTGCTGATTTTAAAAACAGTCACAGCAAGAGATTTCCCAACTTCGTCAGGAAGTTATCAAGTGCCCAGGGAGTCCTAAAGCTACTGCGACAGCTCAAGCTATGTTAAGACAAGTGGAGATGGAAAGGAATACAGTACTGTCAGATTTTCGAAGGATGACTACGGAACGTGATAGCCTCAGGGAGCAGTTAAAGGTTTGATTCCAGCCTCCCCAACCCTGGTTATTTTAACCAGTAGTGAAAACTACTTAGTAGTGTAATTAAAGTTGGTAAAGACTTCTAGTCCTGAGAGTTAATTGTGTTAAATGTCTGCGGTGAGTTCAGACTTGTTCTTTATGGGGTTTTGTTGTTATGTGATACAGATTTCCCAAGAGACTGTGTTTAATGAAAAGGCTCGTTTGGAACAGAGAATTGAAGAGCTAGAAGCTACTATTCAAAATGTAAGAGAAAATATTTATGGAACTGTAAATGTAATACAGATGATAATCATGGTTAATCCTGCAGGACCAGCCTAATTGTTTTCTATCGGGAAACAACAGGCTGAGAGCAGTGGATGTTCTTCGTCAAGACTACTGAGACTGTTACCTACAGTGTTCTTGTATCCAGGTTAAAATGTTAAGGTCTGGATGGATGGGGAAAAAACTTGATTGGATGGTCAGTTTTGTGAGGTAGAAGTTAATTCAGCCTGGAGACTGTTAACATGGAGCACCACAGGGGTTCTGAGGCCTGTCCTGTTAAGCATCTTTATCAGTGACTTGAAGGAGGCAACAGAATGCATGCTCATAAGGTCTGCAAATAACAGCAAGTTAGGGAAAACTGTTGATAAACTCTAGAGCAGGGCAGTCATCCACAGGGACCAAGACAGGTAGGAAAAATGGAAAACAGGAACCTTTGAAGTCCAACAATGATGAATGCCAACTTCTGAATTTGGGAAGAGCCAGTGGCACCAGTACAGGTTGGGGATCAATGGATGTGGGAGCAGCTCTGCTAGAAAGCAAGCTTTATATCAGCCAGCAGTATGCTGTGGTGGCAAAGGTAGCCAAGAGCGTGCTAGGCTGTGTGAACAGGATGCAGCCAGTAGCTTGAGGGAAATGATTATCCTCATTTATTGAGCACTCATTAGACCACATCTGGAATATACCATATTGAATAAGGAAAAGCCTTTTTCTCATGAGGACAGTCAAGCAGTTCCCAACCTTGAAGATGTTCAAGACTGGACTGGACAAAGCCCTGAATCAGCCTGACCTCAAAGCTGGCCCTGCTTTAAGCAGGAGTTTAGACTAGAGACCTCTTGGAGTTCATTCCAGTGTGTATTATCTATGATTGCACACTGTAAAGCCTGATGCTCCAAAACCAAATATAATTGTACTGTTCTGGCAAGTCCTATTTAATATGGCTTAAATTATTTGTGTGTGCAATTGTTTGCTAATGTATGGTGCCAAAACAGAAAATTAAAACATTAATTAATATAAATCTTAAATACATCTACAGTCTTGATAGAACTTGTCTTTTTAATAGGTTAACATTGTTTTCTGTTGTGTATCTTATAGATTTTCTGGTTATAATTTCCGGTTAATTCTCCTCTTCAGCCTTTTAAATCCTACACAGCTATTAAGTATAGTTCCAAGGATTATAACATTAAACTGAGTGCATTTGCAATGAAGAATGCACTGGAGGTTTAAATAGCTCTGGGTGCTCCAAGTAGCAAATTAGCTTCAGTCGCATGTTTGACATATGATATATAATGAAAATTGGTAATAGTCCTGGTTTAGGTATGTCATCTTATTTCTTCAATTCATTTGGTGTCCTTTGAGGGCAATACATCAATATGAAATTTATGACACTAGTATTGAAAAAGTTACTATGTGCCAGGGGCTTACTCACTTGCTCTTTAGAAGTCTGACTTCTGAATATAGTAATACAGAAATTAGTACTGAAAGAATCAGTAAGTGAGGAGAGGGGTGAAGTGAGTTTTTTTACCTTTAAAGAGGTGTTTCCGATAATTTATAAAGGACAGTTCTTTGAGTGGTGTTAAGTGTGAGCATTTTAATAAACACATCTTTCTTTGAAGTGTAGATTTGAAAGTAGTTTTGCTGGAGTCTGTGCGAGTGGTTTTGAACCTGTTCTTTTTCAAGGCACAGACCTGAAGGCCTCATGGTGGTAACTTGGTGATACAGTGCTTTATGCAAATGTTTTACAGTGATTTCTCTATCCATATCTGTATCTATAACTTAGTAGAGGCCTAAAGTCATCCCAAACCGGGATTTCTCCCTTCATACACTCATAATAATGATCTCTGTGAATTATTTTGCACTGAAAAATTTCAGTATTGATAAATACCAAATATTTTTGCCCTTGGGCATAATTACCCACCTAAAATATACATTAATGAATGAAAATTTTCCCAGAGATCTGAAAGACCAGAAATTGATTGTCCTTCAAAGTAAGTGAAAATCATATTTCATCTTTGCCAGCTACCTTCAGTAGACTTGGAGTCAGCCCCGAGTAAATGAGATACGTGGACATTTGTTCTTCAGTAAAAGATTTGTGCTAAAACCAGTAGAATCTGAATCAATGGGAGGATTTCTGTATAAATCATCTTTTTCCATCTTTTACTGTTTAATTACATTTATAGTTAGAGAGTGAACGGTTAGAACAGGTGTCCAAAGTGACGCTAATGAAAGACACCATTGATTCTCTGGAAACTGAGATGAAAAGATTGGCAAGAAAAGCACTGGACTCTGAAGCTGAGCTGAGTCGACGGGAAGCTGAATGTGTTTCACTTAAGTAAGTCAATGTATTTAATTGCATTAGTTTGTTGATTAACGTCAGCCTATGTTCATTTGTTTTCATAACTGTTGTATAGCTCAAAGGCAAAGGAATTTATGATAGCTGTTCTTATGAGCCATCCTTCTTTTTGGAATGAAATTGGTTTCCTAGTTGCTTATTTATATGTAAATGTTCTCAGCTTGTTGATATTATGATACACTGAAAACCATCTTCAGGGAAAAAGTAAAATTCACTCTAAGAGTTAGGAGCTTTCTATTAGAAGCTGCAGAGATGGATGTTTTTTGGTAAATTGAGTTTTTTTTCTCTGATTTCTTATTATTTTTTATGAAAGCAAACAAACACATAAAATAATGAGTGTCATGTATAGTTAGTTTCAAACATTCTTTTCTTATTCTTGGAGCTTTTTCATGAGAGGAAATAAAACTGAAGCCTTGTATAAAGTTTGTAGCCTGCTGCTCAACTGGAGTTCCTAGCCATGTTCAGAAGCATGTAACTGGGACTAGACTCAGTTGAAGCTGTTAGGGATTAAAGCACAAGTCAGTGATAAATCACAGTCAGATCTTGAACAAGTGCAAGATAAAAAAGGATAATTTACTGACTGGAAGGAAAGATCAATCACATGTGAAGTTTGTGCAGAGAGATATAAGGAACTAGATCACGGACTGAACTAGGCCACAGAGTGAACAGACTGCAAGAGAAGATACTTTGACTTTTTCCTCTTGTATTTCCATAAATACACTTTAGTTAGGCAAACACTCTCTTAAACCTATGTGTCCTTACGAGTGATTGGTGTAGTCAACACCAGTTGGGTGTTGTAATATTTTTTTTTTTTGCTGGATTTTAATTGGTGGTAATACTGGGTGCTAGAATCATTAATATTGCTACATGATTTAAACAGATGACTTGGGTATAACTTGAAATAGGTCAGACTTTCCAATATATGTCCCAAGTCAGGGTTTTTATTTTCATAATTTTTGAGAAGTTCTCACACTTGTTATAAATAATACTTCTTACTTTTCTGTGATTCTTTATAAGAGTATTCAGACTGTAATATGCAGAAATTAAGGTTAACATTAATAAAATATCCCAAGTAGTCTAAAACATACGGAAGAATGTTGCTTTTTTTTAACTTCTACAAGTTTATTGACATTTCAAAATGGAAAAAATATTAATATGTAAATGTCTGAATTCTCCTGTTTAATGCTTCTGCTTTTCCAGTTTATTAAAAGAAAAGACAGAACAGAGTCTTTCAGAGGCTCAGCAAAGCCTTGTTAAGAAAAAATATGAACTGCAAGTTGCTCAAAAGAAAATTACACTTCTGGATGAAAAAAATGGTGAGTGACAGATACAATTTTTATAATTAATTCAACTAACATTCAGGAAGCTAGTTGTTAAATTGCTGCTCTTTTTTTTCTTATGGGGTGAAAGAAAAAGTATTGAATGCAAATAAATACATTTTTTCCATTTTTAACATTCCAAGTGCAAAACATTAGTTTTCTTTTATTATTGAAGGATTTTGCATTTTAAAATTACGTAACCAAGCTCTTGCAAGTAAGCTTCAGTGACAGTACGTTTTGTCAGCTGTACGATGCATGTTGGTATATGGGCATATCGTTTTGATTTATGATCCACTAAGGAGGTGGTAGCACCTCTCAGCACCATAAGATAATGATAATGGAATCAAGAAAACATCCTTTTTAGTATATATCTGATATTGTATGTTGCATGTTTTTTATATTATGGGAGTAAAGGAGGTGCATTAATGAATTATTGTTCCTGTAGTGTCAGGGAATATGTTCTTACTTCCGAAATAGCAACGGTATTGTGTTAGAAGTCTTTTAGTATTTTCTATACATGTAGTTGACATAATCTTTTCTCAAATGCAGTGCTGAATTTGTGAAGGGAATGCAAAGCTAAGCTATAGCTAATTACAGCTAATGTTAGAGCTGACTGATGCTATTAAATATCTTGGGTTTTGTTAATTACAGGTTTCAAACTCAGGTTATTTGAATTTAAAAATTTTGTTTGGGATGAACATTTCATTCAAAGTGAACTTATTTGTGGGTTTTTTCAGTGTTTTGGTTAAGGTGTTTAAGCCAGTCCTGAGAAGGTTAGAGGCAGGGATGTTTTGTCCACATTATTTTGTTTTAAAAGTCCTATACTTCTATCCCAATAGCGGTACAGTAATGTAGGGACCTAGTGTTTGATAGGCATGTCAGTCTATGTCTCACTGAATGCTTTTGGTCATTCCCAGAAAATGCATCTGAGTTTGGGTGTATTTTAAACCTAAAAAAGAATTAAAACATCAGTTCATTAAAGCTGAAAAGAGACTTTTTAGACCTTGTCATCTGAGGGCTCACGTAATCTGACTGAAGCATGTTCTAATCTAGATTTATTAGCATTTTTCATTACTGTGAGGCAAGTCCAGGCAAAGAATCTTGAAATTAATGGAGACTGTATTGTGCTGTTATCCTGTGACTACAGAAATAACAGTGGAAGACGCTGAAGGAGTGGAACTACAGTATAGGTGGGGGGAGAGAACGTACTCAGAGAAGAAAGTGAGGAGGTTTCAACTGCAGTATAAGTAAGAAGAGGATACGGAGTTTAAGATTTGGATAGGGCAGCATAATCATAGAATCATAGAATAGTTACAGTTGGAAAGGACCTTAAGATCATCTAGTTCCAACCCCCCTGCCATGGGCAGGGACACCTCGCTCTAAACCATCTCACCCAAGGCCTCGTCCAACCTGGCCTTGAACACTGCCAGGGATGGAGCATTCACAACTTCCCTGGGCAACCCATTCCAGTGCCTCACCACCCTAACAGGAAAGAATTTCCTCCTTATATCCAATGTAAACTTCCTCTGTTTAAGTTTTAACCCATTACCCCTTGTCCTACCACTACAGTCTCTAATGAAGAGTCCTTCCCCAGCATCCCTATAGGCCCCTTCAGATACTGGAAGGCTGCTATGAGGTCTCCACGCAGCCTCCTCTTCTCCAGGCTGAACAGCCCCAACTTTCTCAGCCTATCTTCATACGGGAGGTGCTCCAGTCCCCTGATCATCCTCGTGGCCCTTCTCTGGAGTTTTTCCAATAGTTCCATGTCCTTTTTATGTTAAGGACACCAGAACTGCACACAATACTCCAGGTGAGGTCTCACAGGAGTGGAGTAGAGGGGCAGAATCACCTCCTTCAACCTGCTGGTCACACTCCTTTTGATGCAGCCCAGGATATGGTTGGCTTTCTGGGCTGCAAGCGCACACTGAAGCTGGCTCATGTTCATTTTCTCATCGACCAACACCCCCAAGTCCTTCTCTGCAGGGCTTCTCTGAATCTCTTCTCTGCCCAGCCTCTAGCTGTGTCTGGGATTGCTCTGACCCAGGTGTAGGACCTTGCACTTGTCATGGTTAAACTCGATCAGGTTGGCATCAGCCCACCTCACAAGCGTGTCAAGGTCCCTCTGGATGGCATTCCTTCCCTCCAGTGTATCAACCGAACCACACAGCTTGGTGTCATCGGCAAACTTGCTGAGGGCGCACTCAATCCCACTGTCCATGTTAGCAACAAAGATGTTGAACAAAACTGGTCCCAACACCGATCCCTGAAGGACACCACTCATTACTGGTCTCCAGCCAGACATTGAGCCATTGACCACAACTCTTTGTGTGCGGCCATCCAGCAAGTTCTTTATCCACCCAGTGGTCCACCTATCAAATTGATGTCTCTCCAATTTAGAGACAAGGATGTTGTGTGGGACAGTGTTGAACGCTTTGCACAAGTCCAGGTAGATGACATCAACTGCTCTAACCCTGTCCATCAGTTCTGTAACCCCATCATAGAAGGCCACCAAACTGGTCAGGCAGGATTTCCCCTTGGGGAAGCCATGCTGGCTGTCACCAAGGACCTTGTTCTTTTTCATGTGCCTTAGCATGCCTTTCAGGAGAATCTGTTCCAAGATTTTGCCAGGCAATCCTAGTGAAATAGGTAGGTGAAGTGAAGTTAAAGAGCCAGGAGACAAGTGAAGAATGGATATTGGCTTGTCCTGGACTGAACCCAGAACACTGGTGGACAAGAATGTGCAACAAGGAGGGTTGGTTGCCGGAAGAGGCTGTAAGTATGAAGCAGCGAGACTGGAAGTTAGTGAATTGAAAAACAGAGTGTAGATGTGGCACAAGAGAAAGCTGGGGCAATGCGGGAAGTCAGAGACTGCAAATTAATGAAGTGGGGGGAAGGCATGAAGAAGGGTCAGAGACATCCAGTGAGGAGAGCTAGTATGAAGTGTGTAGACAGACTGGAAAGATTTTCGCAGTTGGATGACTAACTCAGAGATTTTGGGTAGGACTTGGAGCTATGGACAGAAATCATGATTAGAAATTGTGGGCAGAATACACACAGAATATGTAAGACTTGAACAATACAGAATATTCAGAACTTGAATAATAATGCTGAAAGCAGGAGAAAGATTGGAAGTAAAAGGACATTGAGATGGAAAATATGGTTTTAGGAGTCTTGTATTAGTAGGGAAGTTTAGAATGAGAAACCTTAAAACTTAGGGCTGTCCAAAATGAAGATAAAGCATGAGCAGCTAATAGTATCTTCTTGGATAGGTAGAATTGGAAAAGATGGTTCTAAGATGGAAAGAAATTGTGTGCGTCTACTAGAAAACATTCTCCCATTTTGGAGTCTGGAATGGAACTAGGGGTTTCCAAGTCTCGTGTTACGTTCTTTTGTCAGCAAATTAATGTGTACAGCAGTATAGTCCCCCCATGGCTGTCTTCTATGTGATACATAATAGGAACCCAAATTATGCTTTTTGTTTTTCACACATGTAACTTATTTGGGAGACAAACACTAAGAAGTTTGGAATGTGAGTATTACGGTTGTCTGTACTACTTAATAAATAAACCCAAATTTGGGTGGTTGGTTGGTTGTTTTTAACTTATGGTACTGTTTTTAATTACGCATCATGTGGTATTTTTCTGTAGGAGCCTTTGCACCAACTTCTGCAGAATTTTGTAGGGAGTAAATCAGTGTTGTCTAGTGAAGCAAGCTTGTCTGTCAGATCTTCTCCTTAGCTGAGAATACAGTGAATAAAACAGGTAATTGCAGAAAAAGAAAGCACGTACTGTTAAAACTGTTAAATACTACTATGCAGTATTTAATGATATTGCTGTCTATACATTAGAATTTTGGGGTGATGCACATTCAGCTTTTCAGAAATGCTCACTAATTATGTATATGACCTATTTTTGGAGTGCTTGACTTGATGCTTTGGTTATTCATTTTGAGGAATGTTGAGCACTCACAGCTGTTACAGCAGTCCATAGTTGTGGTTTTTTGAAATGTAATACTTTCTGTCCTGAAAGTGTTGGTCACAGTTTGGGCATCCAAAATAATCAGATAGCGCTTTCAATTGATCTTAGTGCCTGCATTGCTTTTCTGTAAAATGGTGATAACACACCTGTCCTGGGTTCAGCAATAGCAGTCATTTTTCTCCTTCTTAGTAGCTGGTGCTGTGCTGTGTTTTTGACTCTCAGCCTGAGAACAATGCTGATAACACTGATGTTCTTAGTTGTTGCTCAGTACTGTTTACTCTGACCAAGGAGTTTCTGAGTCTCATGCTCTACCAGGGAGGAGTGGAAGCCGGGAGGAAGCAGAGACAGGACACCTGACCCAAACTAGCCAAAGAGGTATTCCATACCACAGCACGTCATGCCCAGTAAAGAATGGCAGGCTGCCACATGCGGCACCTCACTTGGATGTGTCTGTAGTCTTGGAAGCTTGACTACCCTACGTTCTCCTACAACTGGACTTTGAGCTTATTTGGCGACGAGGATGGGATATGAACCTGCGCAGGCAGAGCACAATGGATTAGCAGTCCATCGCCTTCACCACTCAGCCACCTTGTCCCAGTATATAAACTGGGGCAATTACCTGCAAGGGCTAGATCACTGCTCGGGTTGGGCTGGGTATTGGTTGGCGGGTGGTGAACGGTTATATTCTCTTCCCTTGTTATTTCCCTTATCATTATTATTATTGGTGGCAGCAGCAGTGGTTTGCGTTATACCTTAGTTACTGGACTGTTACTATCTCTACCCGTGGGAGTTACATTCTTACAATTCTCCTTCCCATCCCTCCAGGAGCAGGGGAAAGAAAGGGGAGAATAAGCAAGCGGCTGCGTGGTTCTGAGTTGCTGGCTGGGCTTAAACCATGACAACAACCTTGCTTAGAATCACAGAGTAGTTGAGGTTGGGAAGGCACTTCTGAAGGTCACCTTGTCTAACCTCCTTTCACAAGCAGGGCCACCTACAGCTAGTTGCTCATGTCCAGATGATTTTTGAATATCTCCAAGGAAAGAGACTCCATAACCTCCCTGGGCAACCTGTTCCAGTGCTTGGTCAACCTCAGAGATAAAGTGTTTCCTAATATTCAGAGGGAACCTCCTGTGTTCCAGTTTGTGCCCATTGCTTCTTATACTGTCACTGAGCTGACAAGAGTGCTGTTTGCACTCTCCCTTCAGATATTTATGTATAAGACCTCCCTCCTAAGCCTTCTCCAGGCTAACCACTTCCAGCTGTCTCAGGTTTTCCTCATAAGCAAGTTGCTCCAGTCCCTTGTTCATCCTTATGGTCCTTTGCTGGACTCTCTTCAGTATGTCCATGTTTCTATTGTACTGGGGAGACCAGAGCTGGAACCATCACTCCAGATGTGTCTCACAGAGCTGAGTACAGATACTACCTTAATCAACTGGTAATACTTTCCCTAATGCAGCCCAGGATACTACTTCATCTTATTTGCACCCAGGGCACATTGGTGGCTCATGTTCAATTTGGTGTCCACCAGGACTCCCAGCTTTCCTGCCAAGCTGCTGTCCAGCTGGGTGGCTCCCAGTGTGTAGTGGTGCCTGGGGTTGTTTCCTCCCCAGGTGCAGGATTTTGCACTTTCCTTTTTAAACTTTGAGATTCCTGTCAGCCTGTTTCTCCAGCATGTCAAGGTCCCTCTGGATGGCAGATGACGCTTTGGTGTATCAGCCACTCATCACAATTGTCTGTCACCAGCAAAATTCCTGATGGTACTCTCTGTTCCTCAAGATCATCAATGAAGATGTAAAACAAGACTGGACCCAACATTAACACCTGGGGCATATCACTAGTGACCACATGCCAACTAGACTTTGTGCCACTGGTAATCAACCTCTGGGCCTGGCTGTTCAGATAGTTTTGAATCCACCTCACTGTCTCCTCATCCAGCCCACATGTCAACAGCTCATCTCTTGAGTATCTTACGGGAGTGTCAGAAGTCCTACTGAACTCAAGGTAGACAACATCCACTGCCCTCCCTTCATCTGCTAGGCCAGTCATTTGATCACAGAAATTTGTCAATTGGTATCTTCCACTGGGGGAAGCCATGCTGACTACTACTGATGATTTTCTTGTCTTTAATGTGCCTGAAGTGGTTTCCAGGATTAGCTGCTCCATCAGAATTTTCCTTAAAGCTAGGTTTGAACACTGTCTTCTTAGCAGGTTCCAGAAGCATACATCCAAAAATACAAGGTGGAAATTTGAGTGCCTTTCATCTCGTGTTTTGAAACAAGAAAAGCTTCTGTGGAAAAAATAGAATGTGAATATATGCTATGATGTACCTGAAAGACTGAGCTACAGATCATTTTACTTCTGATGTTTTATCTCCTGGAAGTGGTTAACAAGTATCATTCAATGAGCCCGATTACACTGGTATTTAAAAAGTAATTTGCAGCCTGCATGATTTTTATGAGATGTAAGGCTCATGGTAAGAAGGGTTTCTGTAGTTCTCCTCTGTGAATGCAGTGCATGTAGATCAAATAAGGATTAATTCTCTAACCATTTAAAGGTAAATGTAGTGTGTAACACCTTATTAGCTGAATGAAGACAGGGAGAGACATCTTTTGGAATTTGATTTCGTAATGAGTAGATTGCTTTTTTCATTATTATCTTTGCAATTTTAAGTGGTGTTAAAACTTATAATTGCATTACTCTCACTTTTATATGAAGTTGGTATGAATAAAAATATTATTTAAGAAAAAATTACCTAATATCAGGATATCAATCTCTCTTACTTCATCAGTCTGTATGCTATAGTCTGCATATTGCTTCTGTCTTATAGTAATTCTGTTTAAGCCTTTATTATAATATCTAAGAAAGTTATTTTTAATGACCTAAAAATTTGCTGTTTAGTTAGATGATTTTTTTTTTTTTGAGCCAAGTAATTTAATATCAGTTGGATTACTTGTGTATTTTTAAAAGGTACATGCTTCCCTGTTTTCTTGAAGGGGAGATATTGCCATGTTCTTTTATACTTTAGAAGTGTACCAAAAGAATTTTTATTTCAAATGGGTTGAATTAATACAAATGAGACCTTTCTGATTGTTTCCAGATAACTTTTCAAGACAAAGTCTTGTGCAACAAGAGGAGATCTGTGCTTTGAAAGGAACAGTTGCGAAACTCAATAAAGAGAAGGCATCTTTGCAAGGCTGTGTGGAAGAAGGAAGAAAAAAGATTGCTACTTTTGAGGAAAGCCTGGCAACTAAAGTATGTTCTAACATGTAAACAGTCACAAAAAGTAAATGGGTAAAGGATCTGCTGAGTCATCACACTTATATTGTCATCTACAACAGTGCTCAGTGCTGACCTAGTTCTGCTCCAATTTCAAGACAACAATAAAACTTACATTGACTTCAACAGCAGTAGGTTTGAGCAGTGTTGGTCATCTCATATTTGGTGTTTTGTATGGTTTATACTCCTCAAGAGAAGAGACTTCAATTACTTTTTTTCTGAACTGAAGAGTAAATTAGCCAATTAATATTTTATCATAAAATTTAGCCTGAATTCTTCTTTGGGGTCCACTGATATTAAATATGCAGGGTGCTAGATAATATTGCCTTTGTTGTCACTGAAGAAGCACCTGAATTACATTCCTTTCACCTTAAGGTATATTGCACAGTGTGATTTCAAACTATGTAATGAAGCTGCTAAGTTCTTAGTTCTGAAACATTATTTTTCACTTCAGCTAAAGGCACCTGGATATTGATTTAGGATAAAAGAAAAAGATACGGCAGGAGAGGCTAAAATCATATTTCTGTAAGCACTGACTTTGTGTTTTTAGAGCTGTAAATTGTGAAATGGTGTCCATTTTAGAGAAGAGATGCTGTCTCACGTCCCCTGTGTCTTCAGTGGAAGAAATTTTCTTAGCCTATGTTTCTTTTAATATCTGTATCCAAAGACAAGGGAGTAAGTAATAAACTTTGTGATGGAATTCTTGTTTTATCATTTGCAAACTACCAGAGTTTGGTAGTTTATTCATTGTAGAAAAGTTGTGATAACACATCTAATAGGTAAAAGACATTATTTAGTTTTGAGAGTGTGAGCCAAATGCTACCTTTACAATCACAAAGGATTGAAAGAATTAATTAAGACCATTATACTCTGCAAAAGATAATATTTGTTCCTTTATTTGCCAAACTAGTTTATTGGAATTTTCAGCTCTAAACAATACATGATGAAACTTAGAAAACCACGGTCCATTTTGCACTAGTTAAATTAATCAGTCAGCTGAATAAAAGGAAATAGAAAGAATATTGTTTTATATTTTTTTTCCATTTTATACTGAGGAGTGGCAAGAGTTGTATTTTAATTTTGTATTTCTTTTCAAGGAGAAAGTAATTGCAGATTTCAAGATTCTGGTTTCTGAGTTGGAGAGTTCCATAAAGTAAGGATGAACTGTAAGACCATTATCAAATTTTGAATAGCTTACTAACTCAAAAACTGAATCATAGGATGTGCTAATGTATAAATATTTTTTACTTATTAAAAATTAAAATGTTACAGCTTTGTTTCATGATTTGCAAACTTAACCAATGGAAGAGCTATCATTTGTATTAGGTTGGGCAGTATTGTCATACCTGAAGGATTTTTTTTATTTGCTGTATAGAAAATCTTCTGAAGCACTTTGTATCTGTGAGAAAGATACCACGACTTTGGATCAACAGCTACAAGAAACCACCAAGGAACTTGCGCAGGCTAACAAGAACAGAGAATCATTAGCTCAGGAGAATGACAGGTTACAAGAGCATCTTTCTAGTATTAAGCAAGAAATTCAGGTATATTTGTACAGAAAACCCTTGACTAAAAAGGAAAATGGTGCATTTTTAAAGTAGTGCATAGAATTGCTGGCCCTCATCAAAAGTAAATCTGCAGACTAGTTTTTAAGCTCATTTATCAGACTGATTTTTCCCCTTATTTCTCAGCTCACTTGTATAATGAGGACCAGCTATTCTTATGTGATGGTTTGGATGTTTATCTGAGGAACAGCTAATTAATGCTTTTTTTGATCTTCAGGTAAAACCAATGTGGCAGTTATAACTATTGCTTATAAGGAAAAGTACTATAAAGAAGGCAGTATTTCTTATACTGCACTGTCAGTGGCCTAGAGTTTATAAAAGCTTTTGAATTTGACTTGCTAATAATTGAACACAGTATACATTCTAATAAGATTCAAAACTTTGGCAATAATATTGTATTTAAGTTCCTTTAAAGTGGCTTTTGTATAAAAGATGCTGGAAATATTTGGTTATATTACATTATCTACTGTGGTACTTATCTGTGTGCAGTTCCTAATGAAAGTAGTTAAAATACTTACAACTGAAGTGCCACTTCATGCACACACAATGCTTATGCATCAGTGTGTTTTCCAATCATCTAGAATTTAAGCTTAAATACTTGTAGAAAGTTCATCACTATGTAATGTTCTGTTTTTCCTTTTTTTCTTCAACTTCTTGCCTTCATTTAGGTCTTTCTTCTCTGCACTTTTTCTACTGCTTAGGATGTCACGGAAAATACTTTATGCTCCTCTGCCTTTCTGTTCCTTTAGAAACCAACCAGTTTTGAAGGAGCAAATTAATTTCACCTGATGTTAGGTATATAAAAATTTTAAGTTATTAAGGCTCCCCTTTGAGTGAAGTTATTAAGGCTCCCCTTTGAGTGAAGAAAAGTCCTCAAGAAGGAGATTGACCCCATCCCGTCAGTTTTTAAAGTGATTCATTTTACCTGTCTCCCTTCATTAGAGAGGAAGCATAGCTAACACAGATTAGGTGCCTAATTCTGCACTGCAAATATTAGGTAAGACAACTCTCATTCTAAATAACTATTCTCTCAAACATACTAATAATTTCTCTTTGGTGCCTCTTTGAGTATCCTAGAAAAGTCAAGGTTCATAATAGCCTTCGCCACCAAAGGTACTCCAGGGAATCACTATTCTTTACCTTCTCTCAGAATCACAGTTGATACTGATGAGGTCAGCTGCTACAAAACACAGCCTCCTGTTGCTTTTACCTAGTTTTGAAAGCTTTGTGGTTTTCTTTGTAATGCCTGGATGCTTTTAGAAGCAGTTAGAAACAAAAAGTCTTAGCCTCACAGGATCAATTACTTTTTAATAGGCTTGTCTCTGTAATATGTATTTGTTCCTCAAGGTGCTTCCATTAATTTAGGTGACACTTGAAATATTTAAAGTGGCATTCTCATTTCTTCACTTGGGCTTACTGGAAAAGTTCAGAGACTTCCAGACTAGCTTTCTCAAAAACTGACAGCTTTTTTTTTGCAGGAGGAATAGGGGTTTCTCCATAGCATTCTCCACCCACAAACCCTCCACACCTTCACAGTATCACAGTATGCTAGAGATTGGAAGGGACCTCAAAAGATCATTTAGTCCAATCCCCCTACCGGAGCAGGAACACCTAGATAAGGTTACACAGGAACGTGTCCAGGTGGGTTTTGAATGTCTCCAGAGAAGGAGACTCCACAACTCCCCTGGGCAGCCTGTTCCAGTGTTCTGTCACCCTCACTGAGAAGAAGTTTCTTCTCAAGTTTAAGTGGAACCTCTTGTGTTCCAGTTTGTACCCATTGCCCCTTGTCCTATCATTGTTTGCCACTGAGAAGAGCCTGGCTCCATCCTCATGACACTCCCCCTTTATATATTTATATACACTAATAAGGTCACCCCTCAATCTCCTCCAAACTATAGAGACCCAGCTCCCTCAGTCTTTCCTCATAAGGGAGATGCTCCACTCCCTTAATCATCTGAGTTGCCCTGCGCTGGACTCTCTCCAGCAGGTCCCTGTCCTTCTTAAACTGAGGGGCCCAGAACTGGACACAATATTCCAGATGCGGTCTCACCAGGGCAGAGTAGAGGGGAAGGAGGACCTCTCTCGACCTACTAACCACCCCCCTTCTAATACACCCCAGGATGCCATTGGCCTTCTTGGCCACAAGGGCACAGTGTCGGCTCATGGTCATCCTGTCGTCCACTAGGACCCCCAGGTCCCTCTCCCCTACACTGCTCTCTAACAGGTCGTTCCCCAACCTATACTGGAACCTGGGGTTGTTCCTGCCCAGATGCAGGACTCTACACTTTCCCTTGTTATATTTCATCAAGTTATTCCCCGCCCAACTCTCCAGCCTGTCCAGGTCTCGCTGGATGGCAGCACAGCCTTCTGGCGTGTCAGCCACTCCTCCCAGCTTAGTGTCATCAGCAAACTTGCTGATAGTACACTCAATTCCCTCATCTAAATCATTGATGAATATATTAAATAATACTGGTCCCAGTACCGACCCTTGAGGCACTCCACTAGATACAGGCCTCCAACTAGACTCCGCCCCATAGACTACAACTCTCTGGCTTCTCTCCTTCAGCCAGTTCACAGTCCACCTCACTACCCGATCATCCAGACCACACTTCCTCAATTTAGCTGCGAGGATGCTGTGGGAGACTGTGTCAAACGCTTTGCTGAAGTCAAGGTAGACCACATCCACCGCTCTGCCATCATCCATCCACCGTGTTATTTCCTCATAAAAGGCTACGAGATTGGTCAAGCATGACTTCCCCTTGGTGAAGCCATGTTGACTGCCCCTCATAACCCTCGTATCCTTGATATGCCTTAAGATGGCACCAAGGATAAGGTGTTCCATCACTTTCCCAGGAATGGAGGTGAGGCTGACTGTCTATAGTTACCCGGGTCCTCCTTCTTGCCCTTTTTGAAGACAGGAGTGACATTTGCTTTCCTCCAGTCCTCAGGCACCTCTCCCGTTTCCCAAGACTTGGTAAAGATGATGGAGAGCGGTCTAGCAATGACCTCAGCCAGTTCCCTCAGCACCCGCGGGTGCATCCCATCTGGACCCATGGATTTATGGATGCCCAGATTGCTTAACTGGTCTCTAACCCATTCCTCATCGACTAAGGCAAACCGCTACATTGACCTGACTTCATCTGAGGTCTCAGAGGTACAGGGCTCTTCAAGACTGCCTCCGGCAGAGTAGACAGAGACAAAGAAGGCATTCAGTAACTCTGCCATCTCTGTATCTTCTGTCACCAGGGCACCCGTCCCGTTCATCAGCGGGCCTACATTGCCTCTGGTGTTAGTTTTATCTGCCATGTATTTGAAAAAGCTCTTTCTGCTGTCCTTGACCCCTCTCGCCAGCTTTAATTCCAAGGAGGCCTTAGTCATCCTAGCTGCCTTCCTACATCCTCTAGCAGCAGCCTTATATTCCTCCCAAGTGGCCAGCCCTCCTTCCATGACCTGTAAACTCTCCTCTTGCACTTGAGCATACCCAGCAATTCCCTATTTAGCCACGCAGGTCTCCTGACCCTCTTCCTCGACTTCCTACATGTCGGGATGCTCTGATCTTGAGCTCGGAAAAAGCAGTCCTTGAATGCCAACCAACTGTCTTGGGCCCCTTTACCTTCAAGCAGCCTAGCCCATGGGAGGGCTAGGCTGCTTCTCCCAGTTCATGCAGTTGAGTGTTCTAGTAATTTTGTAAGGAAGAAAAAGTTTCTGAACAGAGCAGTTCAAGACAGCCTTTCTGCAGTTTTTTCCTCTTTCTGTTCTCATTCTCAAGTAGTAGTTGTGAGAAATTCTGTCCCTTCTCCTCATACTTGTGCCTTTATTTCTCCCAATTAGGAGATAACCACTTAAGTAGGTAATTCATTTTTTTTAGCTGTCTTCTGCTTTTTCAGATGTGGGCTTTTGAGAAACAGTAACATGTAAAAGAGCGGGAGCTGAGTCTGAGCCCTGCTCCTTAAATGGGGCAAGCTCTTTTGTTGTGACCATCTAGCTCCTACATAAACCATCTGTATTTTCCTTTTTGCCGGCTACATTCATTTATTTGCCTTTTTCTTCTTCTTAAAAAGATACAGCATTATTTGTAAGTCAAAGAAACAAAATATTTTTGACAAATGCAAATTTTGTTTATAGAAATATACATGGTTTAGTTTTTATGTAGCCTTTAAATAATGAGTTAATAAAGCCATAGGCATTAGATATGCACTAATGCTTTTCCTTTTTTAAAGGTACAAACATTATACATTATGAAATAAATCTTTCTTCATAGGTACTGCATAAAAAACTAGCAAAGTACCAAAATGAGCTTGATGATCTGAAGTTGAAAGCACAGGATTTAAACACAGATATTGTCAGGCTGAAGGATGTACTGAAGTCTAAAGTGAGTATATGGATTAAACCTGTTAATAAAAGCTATTGTTTTAACTAAAAATAAAAATTTAACAATAACTCCGTGGAAGAATTTGCTTCCTAGCCAAAACTTATTTGCATTCTACTAATATGGATTTATTAAATACATTTTCTTAGCTGTTTTTGCAGCATGCAAGTAATGCAGTATATTAAATAGTGGTTTTATATACAAACACATATATATGCATGTGTGTGTTTATTAAAGTTAAAAATGCAAGTAGTGAATAATGCAGAGACTTGGAACTCTTTTGTCTTTATTACCATATGGGATTAATTTAAAAAGATATTTCTGCAATATATTTGTATACATCATATTTGTAATGTTAATCTAGCCATTTTTAACAGATGTCCTTTGAGCATTAAAACGTGGCCATCTTGAACAAAACACTGGCTCCTGAGAAGTCTCTTAAAGTTTTGGCTAAATGGCAAACTTTTCAGTGGAAAGAGAACATACAGTATCATGTCATACGTGTAGATCTGTACATATCCCTATATTGTGAAGCTTGCTGTAAATTATTAAACAAACTTTATGTGTTAGGAGAGAGAGAACTGTGAGCTTTTGGAGAATTACCACAAGGCCCGTGAACAAGGACAAAGTTGGGAAGCAAAATGCCATCAAGCAGAAGCAGATTGTAGCTCTGTTAGACTGGTACTGATCAGTGCAGAGTCTGAGAACTGCAGGTTGAAAGAGAAAATGGATTCCCTTGAAAGAGTGATGGAGCAAGTAAGTTGAAATTGATCTTTCCATAGTTCATAAATCATAGTGAAATGATCTGGCAGTATTTTAAGCTGGCAACTGTTTAATAATGCCACTTCTCATATTTAGAGATATTTGCAACAGTAAGCCGTACTGTTTGAGTTTATTTAATGACATGACTAGAACTCCACTAGTCACACTTGGAAAAAAATCTTAAAAAATAGTTGCATATTTCAAGGAAATAAATATGCATTATAAATTACAAAATGCTCTCATGTGTGGAATGACAGGAGGCATAATGTTGCACACAACTCCACAGCATGCCTGAAACATACCTAGTGCTTTACCACCTTTACATTTCTGTCCCTGCTCTTCTTGCTTCTACATTTTCAACCTTCTTTTCACTGCTTTAGTTGTTCCAAAGAGCCTCTTCTCACCTGAAAATCTGCAGAACTCAGAGAGAAATGCACAGCGTGGCTTTAGAAACACTTTACAAACATACAAACTATCATCTGGTTTTCAACTGTTACAGTTTTTGTTGCAGATCATCTCTGCTTCCTAAATATCATACAGGCGAGGAGGGCTAGCCATGCACATTGGATACTCAAAAGGGACTAAACTGCTGCTGTTGAGAAAGTGAATAACAACATAACAGTAGCAAAACAACACAGGAAGATTGTGTGGCAGATTGATATTTAAAAAATATAATAGAACTGGTACTAGTTTGTACAGTGAGCCTCGAATAGAGATTTCATAGAATCATAGAATGGTTTGGGTTGGAAAGGACCTCAAATATTGTCTAGATCACCTTGAAAGATATCTCGGATTTTACATGTAGTCACTAAGCAAGCAGAATAGCTGAAGTAGTTCGTTAGCAGAGAAATTTGACATGAACTTTAAAATACTTGACTATTTTAGGAAGTATCAATATCTTTTTAATAAATCTCCTTAATTTTCCCTGAAAATCAATTTTGGTTGAGCTTGTTTTTTACAAACCCTACAAAATTAGTGTCTGATAGGCAATTTTTAAAAACTCAGCTTGGATAGACTCTGAAAAATTGTTCATACATACTCAGATTACTTAGATATTTCCAGTGTGATTCTATCACTGTCCCATCCATCCTCTGTTCCAGCTGAGTTTCTTGTTCTTTACAGACTTCTAGCATTCTTTTTTAACCTTTATGCCTTTTCCAAACACCATGGGTAAAGCTGCTAATTTTTTCATACCTTTCAATCAGCAGAGTTTTATCAGCTATGTGTAACCTTCAGATAGGGCTTTTATTTTACAGAGTATTCCAATGCAGAAGTCTGCAGTACTAGATTGCAGCATATATATATATATTAAAAAATGGAAACTAAACCTGATGCTGGATAATATTGTTCTTTCAGTGTTTCTAATACTGTTTATTTTCCTATAACTTATGTTGTCTACAGTTTTCAGTATTCTTTTGTTCTGAAATACAAAAGCAGAATATCAAAACTGTTTATCAGCAAAAGAACTAGATTTTTGATTGACAGAAAATTGAATCTTTCAGACTGAAGAAGCCTTTTAGTTTAGTACACAAAAAGTTTGAGTTTTGCTTTGCAAATTGAAAAATATTCTCTCCTCTCCCCTTGGCCTATGACCTGAGTTCTCTCATATCTTCTTTGTTTGAACACACAAATGGTTCACACAAAATGCAGATATTGGATTGTTATACCAGGTGTCATTTCCTGCACTTTGCCTCAGCAAAATGTAAAACTCCTTTAATGACTGTCTACAGAATCCATTGATCCATATATTTCATATCATTTTGTCATCAGTATCAAATGCATTTATATTCAGATATATGCATTGTGTGAATTTATAAATCTAACACAGGATTTCGACTAAGGGCAAATACAACACTAATTATCCATCTTAGAGTGAGGGCAAATTTTGGTCACTGATTCCAGACTTCCTCTTTTTTTTTTTTAAAGGTTATTCTAATATCCAGTGATGCTAACTAACACACCTAAAATCTTTAAATCTTTGTTTAGCTGCAGAGCAAGTGTGAGTCATCCTATTCTGAAATAGAGCTGCTGAGAAAACACCTGGGAAATGAAAGAGCAGCTATGAAAAACCTGGAATCTTTGCTTGTGTCCAGTCGTGAGAAAGAACTTCAGGCACAGACAGCAAAGCAAGAAAAAGACTCTACAATTCAGTTGCTCAAGGAACAGCTTTCTGCAGCAGAAGATAAACTGTGAGTAAATGACCAGGAGAATATTGCAGAGTTCTTTTTTCATTCTTCCCAATTCTATAGGCAAACAGATACGGGTTTATGTCTAACTGCATTTTCAAATGGCCAATGTATGTTGGTTACCTTAAAAGCAGAAAATAACAAAAACCTTCTTCTGATTCCTCAGCTATACCCTAACACACTTTTCTGTGTAGTGTTATATTTCACTCAAAAAATGTTCTTGATCTCATTTGGATGGTACAGTTGCCTTTTAATTTTGGATAATCATATTTCTTAACATACCTGGAGGATTATGGTTACTATCTAATTAAAATGTATGGGCTTTACAGTACTGTGCAGGGTCAAGATTTTACTCAGCTCAGAAACAGAGCAGCTCAGCTAGAGTTGGAACTGGATATGACCAAAAGACAGCTGGGGACTGAGCGCACTGAAAGGCAAGTGTGTGTTTTTGTATTGTGTGTCATGCATCTAATTGTGAAATGCAATACAGTACTAAGACTAATTAGTAGGATAAACAGCAAAATTTAGCTTTGCTTTGCCGTACATCTCCTGTGTGTTCAGAGGCTATTCATGTCGCTAAATTTAGTCTGTTCAGCTGTCTAAATTAGCTGTCTAGGTTCCTTTTCTAGCCAACAGAATGAGACACTGAGATAAACTGCCCTCTGGAACTGACGGATTTACAGTGGGATGGATTGCTTTCCTGAACATGCTCATCTGTCTTCACTCACTGATACTGATGCCTGTCTTGATCTGTAGTGGAAGTATAGGTGACTAGTTGGCTATAAATGTGATTTATTGTCTACTAGTTTGACAATATGAATAGCAACCTTTGGCTACACCTGTACTAGTGAACTAATCCAGGTCAGAGCATTGACTTGAGGGGTACACACAATGTATACTTGTCCATACAGTTTAATTGTCAGTACACTGGGGTGATTTTGGCTAGTAGAAGCCAAAATTCTACCACGTACTACTTGAGGCACAGAAAGTGTTTGGGATGGTTCCCAAATGGCAGTATGGACAAAGTAATGTGGGCTGGTTGGTTTGGGTTATCTTGCTGCTGTTGTTGTGGGGTTGTTTGGTTGGTTTGGGTTTTTTTTTTTTTTGTTTGTTTGGTTGGTTGGTTTTTTGTGGGTTTTGGTTGCTTGGTTAGTTGTTTTGTGGGGTGTTTTTTTATGGGAAGAGGATATGTACAAGCTGTTTCATTTGATTTGGCTACAGTGCCAGAGAATAGTTGCTGGCCTGCTTCATGAGTGAGTTTATCTATGTAGTCCTGGTGTCTTAAATAGTTTTCTTATCTGTGAAACAGTAGTACTTCTCTATTTCATGGATATATTGAGTATAAAATATTACAGTACCTGGCATTATTTTGAGTATATAAATGAGATGGCTAAAAGAAGCAGTTTGATGTGATTGTAGCACAGGTCTGAGAATCAGGTGTCTTGTTTAATTGTAGTAAACTACTCTGTTATTACTCCATTTTTTCATAAGCAAGGATGAAGGTTTTGAAGGGGACATCTCCATACCTGAGGTTAGACCTTTTAAAGATGCATTTCTTAAGTGTCTCATTGTACGTTTCAGTTTCAAATTAGATTCTGCTTTACCCTGAAGTCATGGCAAAAACTGCAGAACTTTTGGATTAGATACACAGATCATTTTAAAAGCTGTTATCATTTGTGTTTACTCAGCTCATAGAGTGAGCTAGACTGTATACAAATACAGGAGTGCCTTTGTTTTAAAAGAAACTGTATCTTCAGACTGTTGTTTCTCTACTACCCCTATATGAGTGCATCCATCTCATGGCATATGGGTGCTCCTTGGTAGGGACTGCAAGTGTTTCTTCTTAAAGTGTTTATTGGCAGAAAGCTGAATCAGCTTGCATACTTAATTTCTTCTCCTTGTTAAGGATAATTTGCTACTTGAATGGTTACTTATAGTTGCAATAATATCAACACTTAGTTTACAGTTGGTTATAAAGCAAACACTAGAGTGAGCCTATGTTGAGGCAAAGATTGCCAGTTTTCATTCTTGAAGAGAATTTCTCTTCAAGAGAATTACAAATGTAATTAGAATCATAGAATAGAATCATAGAATTCTGCTCCCGTGAGACCTCACTTGGACTATTCTATGGTTCTATGAATAGTTAGGGTTGGAAAGGACCTTAAGGTCATCTAGTTCCAACCCCCATGCCATGGGCAGGGACACCTCACACTAAACCATCACACCCAAGGCTCTGTCTAACCTGGCCTTGAACACTGCCAGGGATAGAGCATTCACAACTTCCCTGGGCAACCCATTCTAGTGCCTCACCACCCTTTCAGTAAAGAACTTCCTCCTTATATCCAATATAAACTTCCCCTGTTTAAGTTTGAACTCGTTACCCTTTGTCCTGTCACTACAGTCCCTAATGAAGAGTCCATCCCCAGCATCCCTGTAGGCCCCTTCGGATACTGGAAGGCTGCTATGAGGTCTCCACACAGCCTTCTCTTCTCCAGGCTAAACAGCCCCAACTTTCTCAGCCTGTCTTCATACAGGAGGTGCTCCAGCCCCCTGATTGTACTCATGGCCCTTCTCTGGAGTTTTTCCAGCAGTTCCATGTCCTTTTTATGTTGAGGACACCAGAACTGCACACAATACTCCAAGTGAGGTCTCATGAGAGCAGAGTAGAGGGGCAGGATCACCTCCTTCAACCTGCTGGTCACACTCCTTTTGATGCAGCCCAGGATACGGTTGGCTTTCTGGGCTGCGAGCGCACACTAAAGCCAGCTCATGTTAAGTTTCTCATCGACCAACACCCCCAAGTCCTTCTCAGCAGGGCTGCTCTGAAACTCTTTTCTGGCCAACCTGTAGCTGTGCCTGGGATTGCCCTGACCCAGGCATAGGACAGTTACCTGAATTGTTTTGGAAAGAACAAATCCAGGCTCCATTATGCAGTCTGTAAGTCAATTGCAAAAACAGTATGCAGAAATCTTAGATAGCAAAGACTGAAAAGTTCTCATATAAAAATCTGACATTAGATTGAGCTGTCTTTGAAAGGCTAGAGCTTCATTTATTTTTTTTTTTTTTTGTCTTTTTCATAAAATCAAAACAGTGTTCCTTCAATGTCCTGCAAAGGGTACAAGGATTCTGTTTCTTTTCTGGTTTTCCTCAGAAAGTCATGCTTTACAAGAGCAGGTATCTATCTGTCAGGCTCACAAGGAAAGGTGTTAAAGCGTCAAGGTGGCTTCTTACAGCCAATCTGTTTTTCTGGTTCTGGCAAGTTAAAACCAGAAAATTAGCCAGAGAGGATAAAAACCTATCATTAAAGTCAGTATCATGATAGTATGTAATGGAAGCAGCAGATGTGAGTACTGACTTTTTTTGTTATTGTTAAAGAAGTGGGTAGATAATATCCTTGTTCTAACACTGATTTAGCTAGCTGTGTTAATTTACTGCCTTGGCGCAGAATGAAGTAATACTTCAGATTAGGAGGTGGAAGTGCCAACACTGTCAGGCCTTGAATGAACATCAGCACAGTGGTACCAGGAGGTTTAATCCATCTATATGAGTTTTTCTTTAGCAGTTAGGAAAACCACCTCCCCATTCCTCCGATCCTCCTGACTGCAGAAGCAGTTTAGACTCACATGGGGACAGCAAGTTTGATTTATTGCCCTGTTCTGATTGTGGTGACCAAGCACAGCGACTGTCAGTCAGTTTTGCAATGTAGTATCAGATCCCACATACTTCCTCCTTGTATACCCAGATGCAGGAGTTACGGATTGATGTAATACCCAGGCCCCACTCTTTGAAGTCAAAATGACTGGACTACTATTTTGCAACTTTCCCACTGGGCAGTACAGCATCTCTTAAATATCCACCAGTTTCACAGCACTTCAGGTAGAAACCAGTCTACTGGCCTTACCAACTCAAACAGCGCAGGAATACTGCAATCAACACTGTTAATATCATTGCTGATTTTAGTGATTGTCCTTATTTTGAAGACTAGTGAATAATGTTAAGGTTAGGCTTTTCCTCCCTGGAGATTTTTACAGTTTTTAAGAGTTTAACCTGCAGCAGCCATGGCTAGCTTCTCTCTTTTAGGGAAAACAGACAATGAGTATGTAGAATAAAATCTGTCTAAGGGAGTAATACAGAGAGTGTCTTCCAGAGAAGTGTATGATGAACATCACAACTCCTTCTAAAATAAAATTAAAAAGCTGAAAATCTTAAACAGTAAAAATAATCATGTTAATGACTGTGAGATAATTTTAATGATTTTTGGAAAGTGCTTAGTCTCACTGTAAAATAATATTTATTTAGGGAGCGCCTTGTAAAGGAGCTTCAACGTCGGAATCGTACGATCTCATATCAGTTAAGCTCTACATTAAGAACATCATCACCTGAACATTCCTGTCAACCATTGCCTGATTGGTCTCCAGGCTGGTCCCTAGAAGAGTAAGTGGTTTAACAGCATTTAAGTTCCAAATACTGAGAGGGGCAAAATAAATAAATAAAAAAATAAAGGGGTAAACTCTGCTATTTCTTGTTGAAATAATGACTGAATTTCATTGCTTCAAGTAAAATTACAAGAAGATTCAGTACCACAGTATTTTGATGATACTCCTTTTATTTTATTTAGCTGTATCAAATAGCAACTACTTACACTTCAATGCTGTAGTCATAAATTCTTCTAACAGTAATAAGAGAATACTACCGAAATTCTCTACATAATTTGCCAGTGCAGGTGTAGAAGTATTTTCATCTTTCCTACATAAAAGCTCTTAACTACCCAGCCTTTCTTCTTTTAGTAGTTTTCCACATAGTTTTTACTCTATATATGTGCATATTTTACAAGAAACACAATGCATTCTAAAAGTGTTCAAATACCTGTAACCCTGAGGAGGCGCAAGCCCATCGTTCCTTTTAAGAATCAGTGAAATGGAGCCTCCACAATATGCAGGTACTCCCGTGTCAATTTTGGTCTCAGCTTACTTTCATATTTGGTAGCTGCATGCCTGTTGCATCACACATTTTTGGTAGATTGATGGCAGCCTGCATTAAAAAAAATGCAGAAAAATTTGCAATTCATGACTTCCTGGAAAAAATCTGTGCTTTTGAGGTGGTTATGTACTTCCAATATGAATTTTGTTAATACTTTGTAAACTGAGAGTATTACCTTTGGCACTTGGTTCATCTTCATTATCAAAGGCTCCTCTAAGTACATAGATCCTAAGGGGAAGTCATGCTTGACCAATCTCATAGCCTTTTATGAGGAAATAACACGGTGGATGGATGATGGCAGAGCGATGGATGTGGTCTACCTTGACTTCAGCAAAGCATTTGACACAGTCTCCCACAGCATCCTCGCAGCTAAATTGAGGAAGGGTGGTCTGGATAATCGGGTAGTGAGGTGGACTGTGAACTGGCTGAAGGAGAGAAGCCAGAGAGTTGTAGTCTATGGGGCAGAGTCTAGTTGGAGGCCTGTATCTAGTGGAGTGCCTCAAGGGTCAGTACTGGGACCGGTATTATTTAATATATTCATCAATGATTTAGATGAGGGAATTGAGTGTACTATCAGCAAGTCTGCTGATGACACTAAGCTGGGAGGAGTGGCTGACACGCCAGAAGGCTGTGCTGCCATCCAGCGAGACCTGGACAGGCTGGAGAGTTGGGCAGGGAATAACTTGATGAAATATAACAAGGGAAAGTGTAGAGTCCTACATCTGGGCAGGAACAACCCCAGGTTCCAGTATAGATTGCGGAACGACCTGTTAGAGAGCAGTGTAGGGGAGAGGGACCTGGAGGTCAAGTGGAAGACAGGATGACCATGAGCCAACACTGTGCCCTTGTGGCCAAGAAGGCCAGTGGCATCCTGGGGTGTATTAGAAGGGGGGTGATTAGTAGGAGGTTGAGAGAGGTCCTCCTTCCCCTCTGCCATGGTGAGACCTCATCTGGAATATTGTGTCCAGTTCTGGGCCCCTCAGTTTAAGAAGGACAGGGACGTGCTGGAGAGAGTCCAGCGCAGGGCAACTAAGATGATTAAGGGAGTGGAGCATCTCCCTTATGAGGAAAGACTGAGGGAGCTGGGTCTCTATAGTTTGGAGGAGATTGAGGGGTGACCTTATTAGTGTATATAAATATATAAAGGGGGAGTGTCATGAGGATGGAGCCAGGCTCTTCTCAGTGGCAAACAATGATAGGACAAGGGGAAATGGGTACAAACTGGAACACAAGAGGTTCCACTTAAACCTGAGAAGAAACTTCTTCTCAGTGAGGGTGACGGAACACTGGAACAGGCTGCCCAGGGAGGTTGTGGAGTCTCCTTCTCTGGAGACATTCAAAACCCACCTGGACACGTTCCTGTGTAACCTTATCTAGGTGTTCCTGCTCCGGCAGAGGGGTTGGACTAGATGATCTTTTGAGGTCCCTTCCAATCTCTAGAATACTGTGATACCGTGAATATGAGACAAGTTTCCTCAGCCAGTGAGCTGTTTCTGGTGTCCTTAGGAGGAGAACACAGCTGTGCAAGACAGTGATTTTGTAGCTATTGCCAGGCCTTGATAGTATATGGAGTCTTCATTCCTCCAATAGGATTGTGTCTCGGGGTTTTTGTTGTTTGAGTTTTCCTCATGGCTGGCCTTATGTGACATCATCTGCTTTTGCACATTCCTAGTGAACAGTTTTAAGTAAGGAATGAAATATGTGAGCCAGATACAAATACTTTGTTTGCTTAAAATCTTTAGCTGGTTTAAGCTAAATCCTTCTCAAATCAATGTAGCTTTTGAGTGCAAATAAACTCAATTTTTTTCCTGCCTAATTATTTTCCATTTTTTAATGCTCAAGGTACTAATATAATTCATTACTTTTTTCCTCATTCAGCTTTGTTATACATTTTTTGCTTAGGGGGAAAGACTACAGTTGTTCCAGAGTTACTTATACTAAATGGTTTAGGATTGTTTTAATGTAAAAATACCCCAAACAACTGTGTAATAAAACCTGAAACTTTGACAGTCTATGCTGTGTTTTAAAAGCTTAACTGGAAAGAATCAGGTTTGTGTGGTGTAGTAATACAGTGTTGTATAATATAATGTGTTTGATAACGTTCGCCTCAGATAAAGCAGAGATCTAAATCTGGATCTGTCTGCTTTGTATAAGTGACTTACATTTGACTTACCTATGTCTGGGTGAGTACTCTAATGTCCAGAATACTAAAGTTCTTGATAAATTTTATGTCAAGAACTTAAGAGTCTGTATCAAGAATATGGCAGACTAGCAGAAGTGTCTGAAATATTTATGAATGATGAAATAATTTCCCTCCCTGCTAACTCTAGAAAGATTCAGAAAATTCACTGAGACCAGAAAAAAAGAAAAAATAAGGTAAAGTATCGCCTGAGAGTAAAAGCAGGAACATCAATGCAAATATTTGTGTGTAATCATCAGCAAAACCACAGAATTAAGACTTTCTAAATAGATATGGGGAATTGATGAAATATGATCTAGGTGCAAGCTCCTGTTGAATTTAAAGCAGAATAATATTAGAAATAGAACTCCAGGAAGTATAATTCAATTTTTCAATTGCTTGAAGACAAGTTACCAGTGATTGAAAAAGACACTGTAGAAAAAACTACTCATTGGTAGAGAGGCTTCTTCCACAGCTAACATCTGACTCTGCAGTACATGAAGTACATGAGACAGCAGTGCTGGAATCACCACTAATACCCCTCCTCCTCTCCAGTGTTTGGTGCAGTTTTAGCAAACATGCTGTGAAGGGAGATAAGGTGGACAGTCACATTTTTATTTTATTGAGAATGTGATATCAGAAGTAAATTGGACAGTAACTTTTTCTTATTCTTCTTTGTCTTTATTGCACCAGCCTCACTGTTTCAGTAAAGTGAACAGGATGTGCCTTGTAGTTTGTCTTGCAGATCTAGTGGGAAAGACCTTTTCTGTCTGATTTCCTCAAGTGACAGGAGTCCAAAGCTTGCCTTTCACTTCAAATAGCATTATAGAGCTTTTGTACAATAAAATCTATTCTTTCAAATGATCTGGATTGACTTTGAAGAGACTGGGAAGCTTGCTCAAATTGCTTTCAGAATCAAAACCTTAAAATTTTTCACATGGAAACATCAGAATGTATTTCTGTATTCACTGGACATGAAACAAATTAGATTTCTTTTCCTTTGTAGGAATTCTTGTTTCAAGGACTTATAATGTTATATTCACAATGGCTTGTGAAGACTCTGCACACCATCTGGAGAGTTAAAGTTGAATGCTCATTTAATTAATCTTTCTTCCCTGCTGAATGCTAAATTTCATTAACTCTCATTCACAAATGCTTGCATCACTCTTAATGTTGTTCATCGAAAACAGCTCAGATGGCTTCCTCTCCCACCACTCTCCCAGCTCTTGTATTACTACCATGTGGGGTGGCCCATCTTAGTAAACAGAAAGAGAAAAGCCCCACAACTTCCATCGACTTTACTGACAGTGTGCTTTTATTTTAAAAGTGTGCATAATTTTAAAAGGTTATTGATATAACTGAAAAAAGGGGAAAGAAAATAACAACATGAAACTTTACTGGGGGAAAAGTGTCTATATTCAGGTGTTATGCTTTGGGTGTAATTGTGCTGAACTATGTGAGTATTGTGCTTCAGAGAATGCTGTGTCATCTCAAGATAGGAAGAGTTTGAGGATTTTTTTCCTCTCTTCAAACATGACTGACTTATTAAATTGGATAAATAAGACAGCAATGCCAGCAGATACCAGTGTTTAAATACCCATGTATGAAGACATGTATTTTTTTTGTACTGGAGGTGTGTTCAACTTCTAAGATTTTATTCAAACTGCACAAAGTTTCTACTTAGAGTTCTTTAATGTGAGTGAGTACTGTTTGGTGATAGTTACTAGCACTTAAACTTGCCCACAAATTCCCACCCTTTGTTATCTCATAACATTTGTCTGTGTTCTATGTTCTCACATTTTAAATGCAAAAGAAAATGTAAAATTCTCTCCTATAAATCATCTGGGAAATCTATGCTTCAGTATTTGGAAACAGAGAAATAATTCCTGTTTAAATAATTTAAATTATTCAATATTTTTTAATAGATTCGTCCTTCTTGTTATCTTCATAAAAGAATTTTATAAAAGGTCTCCAGTTTATTTTTTAAAAGCAAAAGCATGTTGGTCACAGTAATGGTTAAAACGTGTATCTTGCACCTATGCTCCTTCAGATGAATTTGGTTTGTGATAACCTGACTGCTAAACATTAACATATTTGAATAATGATTGAAGACAGCATAACCCAGATGAATGCCCCTAACTGCCTTTTAAAAGCTGTTAATATGATTTTATGCTGCTTTTTAGGAGCAGGTAGCTTTAAAAAGCCTGTAAAAGTATTTTGATTAATAATGTAAAAAATATAATGTATATAAATATATACCTGTACTATAAATTTGAGAATCATCTTCTGTAAGAGCAACAATTTTTTTCAGCACAGGTGACTTGATTTTAATTTGTAGGTTAGAATCCTTCATTCTTTATTTGGCAGACAGCCACAGAGGTCATTCTGGCAATCACCGGTGTTAATGGGACTACTTGCAAGTAAAGACTGTAGGATCAGACATGATATTAAACATTTCCACATTATGCAGTTATTAAAAGGAATATTGTACACTTTTACCAGATGAGAGATGATCATCTCATCATTCCAGAAGATGAAAAAGTGGTTTGTTGTTTTGCAATCATATTGCCATATTGATTTTTTCTTTTAGAAGGTGATCACAAAAAAGCTTGAGGCGTGACCTTAGTCTGTAAAACTAATATCCTGTCATTTAGAAAATGAGAATATATTAGATAATCATAAAATAGATCAGACTGAGTTTTTTCTGGGTGTGGATATAGACTGCAGAGGCCCATGTCCTAAGACGTAATTCTTTAGTTGCAACAACGATGGCTTTTCCATATAAGACCATAAAGAAGTCAGTAACAAAGTGCTCCCCTATGAAATAAAAGTGCAGGATTCTTCATCAATTTGTACTTTAAAATTCTTCTCTTAAATAGAAAGGATTAAGGGCAAATGAGATTATAAATACCAAGTTGTAATAAACTTGCTTTTTGTAGAGTACTCCAATAAAGTAATAGCCTTTATTACTAGGGTTAGCCTTTCCCTAGAAAATGTTACGGAAATAAGAACTTTGTTCTCCTGCAGGCAAATTGCAAAGCAATCATCAGGTTATGGATGGGGCCAAAGGAACTTTTTTCTGTAGTGGTGTCATGTAGATTTCAAGTGACTTCTGACAGCAATGAATTGTTATGTAAATACATATGGTTAAGAAAAACAGTCAAGTGAGTATATTCATAGAGCAGTATTACTGTAGTGGCAGCCTCCGACATTTGAATATACCCAAATATACCAAATGTGTTGTGATAGTATCTCTTTCCTCATAATTTGGGTTACTTGTGCTAGGGTGATTTTCTTGTTGTTGCTTTATTACAGCATTTTGGTCAGAAAGAAACATACACCAGAAACCTATTTATCATTTGTTTACATTTGTGATACTTGCAACTGTGAACAACGCAATACTTGATTTTTATACATGTTTTAGAATTGTCTTTTACCACAATATTTTTACATAGGCAAACCTGAAAATGCAACTTGTGGTTTTATATCAAGTAAGAGCATGTTAAATTTTTTCTTGGCTACTCTGTGATGATCTAAAATTATCCATTTTGCATAACAAAGAATCCTATCATACTTTTAAAAGTATTCATGCTCTTCTGCAGCAATATTTTCCTAATTTCTAGCCACTGTTTTTGGACTTGTTTCCAACTGACTTTGCTTCTCCATGGCATTGAAAATTGGCACCATTAATCACTAGAAAGTATTTTACTTGAGCATAACAAGTTTAAAGGTTTTTTTAGAAGAAAGAATTCAGTGCCTCTGATGTCCTCCCTTCGTGGTCTCTTCTCCGCACTGGAAGAAACATAAGCTGCTACATTTGTGTACAGAACAGTATTTCCATCATCAGTACAGTCCCAGCAAGGAGGAAGAATTTGTTGTGCATTGCTGTGTTGAAGTATTTCACTGCTTTTTGTAAAATCCATGCAAACAACCTTTCAGCAGCATTTGTATCTATGTGATTTATCTTACTGTTTCCAGTCAAAGAAAATCAGATATTTTGCCTTTCAGTCACTATTAAAGCTTGAACTTTAGCAACATGTCATCGGAGTTAAGATTCTGCTGTCAGTGGTAAAACTAAGTGGGTTCAGCCTTTGAGCAGGAAAAGCACTCGTGGTGTGGGGTACTCTTTAGTAGCACTACAGCTGAGGTTTTTATTCTGTTCCCCTCCTCTCTTCTGAGAGCAACTAATCCCATTGGTATCAGTGTAGGCTATGGCACATGAGGATGCCCCATGGCTATTGGCATCAGATGCACTTTAGTAGCCCTCTTGCTTGCTTGCTTTTGCGCATTTATTTAATCTGAATTTGATACTAGTAGATCTTAGATGATAAAACAGAATGCATATAAAGTTAGTATATATAGAATATTTAACTAGATAATTTGCATTAGCTTCTCCTTCCACATCTTGGTGATTTCAGTATGAATAGCCTTGCAGCAAGGAATGTAAGTTTTTTTACTGATACAGATTGGTGTGTCTTTAAAAAAGTGTGATCTTTTAATAAAGGAAGCAAGAGGGTTTTTTTAATGTATCTTGCATTCTTAATGATCTTTCCTCTGATCCACTGAAACTTCATATTAATTTCCAGCAGAGGGAGTATGCGAGACGAAGATGAACAGGTCATGCATAGCTTTGTGGTATTACCTGAACACGTGGAAAGAGATTTCACAGATTTTCAGGTTGTTGTCTTGTTTTGGGTTTTTTTGACACTTTCTGCACAGAATAAAAATAGCTTGATAAGATGAATAAAATTTACATTTGACTTGGCTTGAATTGACCATGTCAAAACATATATCCCTCTTTCTTGACAAGAATCAGATTTTTTTATTAATAAAGTTTGGGGAAAAAAGGCTTTCTTGTCATTAAAGCATTATAAGACACGGCCTGTAATGATGTTTCCATTCAATAGAATTTTTTTGTCCTGGCTCCCTAACAGATTGCAATTCAATTTTTCTCTAGGCTGCCAGCCATTTGACTTTTATTAAAGTCCATGAAACAGTTTAATAATTTATTTCATCAGCTGCAAAAGTCCAAACTTAGTTTTAAGTTTCCCAGCTTGTGCTTATCACTGCATTGTGTTTTCAATGCTTTTATTTCCCGAGGTGGGAGAAGAACAAACAATTTTTTTATCTTGAATGCAGCCAACACCCAAGCAATTATGTAAGAGTACACAAAGCAGAAAACGTCTTTGTTGTCAGAGCTGCAGTGCAACCTAGCAGGTGAACAATGTGCTTCTCAGGTTTGCTTTACACAAGGGTATGTCTTTCCTCCTGCACATGGCAATATGTTATAAAATGACTGTTGCCATAATAGCATGTGCATTTTGTAAAACAATGCTACTTAACAGCAATAAAACCTATAATTGATCTGTTTCTTTGACCCAGAGTGGCTGGTGCTTAAATAATGTGGAAACGATTTCTCATTTTCAGATTGAGTGTGCACCATGTTCCCATTTTCATTTCTGCTCCCCTCACCACTGCCCTAAGAAACAAGCAAGCTCCACAGCATGTTTCATTCTAGCACTTTTACCTTGGACTGCAAAGCAACGTAGCGTGGTGTTCCTTTTTCTTTCGGGCAATACCTGTATTTTCTATGCAAAACTGCAGTCTTCAGACTCGCTGGTACACTGGAGAGACTCTTCAGAGGCAAAAATGTAGGCCTCAGAAGTCTGAGAGAAATTTATTGAACCAGATGGACACCAAAGTAGGAAACCACTCTGTTGACGTTATTTTTGTCAGCTCGTCCAGACAGTTCCTCCAGCTTTCCTATATTGCCTCTTGCATGGAAACTACGCTTCAGATGCACTACTTGAATACCCAAACGCGCTGCTGTTCACAGATGCAAGCAACTTCACATGCAGCCTTTCACTGATACCACTGTAAGAGTCCTCACTGATTTTTAATTAGGGTCAGGTCTGCTCTCAGCAGACGTACCTACTGACTAGCTACATGCTGCAGCTACCCCACCAGCTACGGAACTCTTTAACCTGAGAAAGAAAACCCTCAGATGGCCAGTTGCTACCTTAAACCACTGAGGGTAGGCAAAGGGAAAAAAAAACAAACAACCCAAGACTGCTTTATTCTGGAGTTAGAATCGCCCCTGTACAGTTGCTGGGCTGCTCTCCTCAGTACCACAGAAACTCGGCCACGGTCAAGTTC